GTTTAACAGCACAGGAGACACTTGAGAGTCCTCTCAGGAGTCCTATGCAGCTGTATTATCCATTTGGCCCAGAAATGGTGAGATTTGATGCCAGGACTAGAGAAAGGAAAAAAAAAACCAAAATAAAACCGAACAACATATCTTAACACTAAAACGAGAAACAAAACCGTGAGGATTCTACACCCAGTCACATTGTAACACTCTCTAATCCTACATCCCATCATATTATTAAGTGCATTTTCAGCTCAAAATGGTTGGGGGGACAAAAAAAGATCCATCTAGCATAATTCCCCAAATAATGACACAAATTATTATCAATGATTTCCATTTTTTCTGCAATATTTATTGGAAGTTATTGTGACAGGTATAACTACACTGTCTCTGTTTCAACCTGTCTGCATTATGTTTTACAATCCATCTTTTGACAAGAGCCTATCTTCAGTACAGTTTGTTTTCACAGCACTGAGGAATATGAGGCAGGTACCTGGATTCTTGCAGGTGGAAGTAGTGGCATTAAAGCCACATAAATGTGTGGGGAGGAAAAAAACACCAAAAAAGTCCTTAGAAATTATGAAATATTTTGTCAACCACACTGAGACTGACCTGCTGCATACAATGGTGGTGGCTAAAAGAAAACCATTTCTGCAACAGAAAAATGATGCCCTGTGAAACAAAAAGAGGGGGGGGAAAAACATAAAACCAAATGTCTACCCCTAAGTTTAACACTTTGTTAACTGGTGCCACAGTTCTGAAGTCACTTGACTGGGTACATCTCTGTGTATTTCAGCCCTCTTTTCTGTCATGCCAGCTGCTTGCTTTAAGCTGATTTCTTAATTTCAGCTGCAAAAATAACAATGCATGCATTTAAAAGTGGGATGCTGCAGTATTAAAGCAAACACAAAACAGTTGTGCTGGTACTGAAGTGGTCACCAGGCTGCTAATAAATGTGTAGTAGAGAGCACACTAAATTCAGTTGGTATCTGCTATATGCACTTAAGGAGAATGGATGGGCCTAATTGCCTTGAAGTTTTGCACAAGCAAAACTTATGTTATTTGTAGGTAGGTGCTTACAATTGCTGGTGCAACTGTACAGACTGTGAGGGTGTGTAGTGTGCATGAGAACTGTGCTCTGCGTGTTCACTGGTGATGCCACAGCAAATTAGATTTGAGTTGGAGGAGCCCTTGCCAGATCATCTGAGAGCAGTTCTATTCAATTTAATTCTTTCAGACTTTGTTTTTTAATCTTCCAAAGGAAATCTTTATAAGTTTGTAAGGCAAAAACCTCAACAAAAATAGTTTTGTTACAATAGTCAAAATCAAGCACTTGGAAGTGGTTTCTTTGGGGTGATGTTTAGCATCAGGCACAGGGGGAACACAGAGTGCCCTTCCCTTCCTTAGCCAGATCAACATGATGTCCTGACAAGGGCCCACTCTTGTGGGAGCAGTTGGCCAAAATTGCTTTTGTAATGTATTCTGGAGCACCACGTACAGAGGTGCAAGAAGCAGCCCAAAGGGGCTAGGGATCAATATAAAGGATGAATGCAAAATAAATTTCTGTGATTATATATGGTCGCTTAAGTGGAGCTGAAAAAAGAAAGGGGAGGAAAGAGCTAGTAAACAAAAAGCTATTAAAGATGGAAACTGTGCTTGATAATATCAGTTTTCCCTTCAGAATATAGTCAGAGCTCTAGGGGCGAATCCTCTTACCGTAGCTGCGTTAACAGTAATGGAGAGACTTGGGGATTTTTCGCTTGAGATTTGTTGGATGCAAAACATTATTTTATTGCTTAAAATACCAGACAACTTGAGAACTGCAAAAATTATGAGTAGCTCTTGAGATTTATTTATTTTTTGAGATTGCCACTGGTATTTAGAAAGAAGAGAGAGGATGAGGACGAGGAGGAGGAGACGCACTGATCCAGAATACATCGTTTTGGTCATTGCAGAACTACAATATATACAGGCAAGCTAGTGATAGACAAATTACCTGTTCTGTCCTGATCTGATAATTGAATTTTTTTTTCCAAAACTGGTGATAACTCTTTTTAAAATGTCTTTTTAGCTAATCCAAGGATATGATTTACAGTGGAGGAAAAAAGAGAAACAATTTTCATAATGTCATGATCTTGTGGCCTGCAGAGAACTAAGAGGTCACAGCCCACACAGTCTGACTTGACTACACAGTTCAGGGAGAAAGTGTAGAGAAATAACAGCAGGGGGAAAATATCATGTAATTCTCCATTTTAGGTTAACCTTCATGTTTGACAGTGACCTGCAATGAAATAATGTCATGGTCAGTATTTGATATTGCTCTTCATTAGTCTTCCACAGGCAATTAAAAGTTTGAAAATAAATAATTAAGCCTTTTTTATCAATGCAGAGTTGTATTTTCTGTGTATGCACAATCAGTTACACATTCAGGAAGGGAGTGAAAATAGAGCTTAAAAACACTACAAACAAAACTTTCTTGAAAGCACAGATTGACCTTTCAGATGTTAGTGTTTTCCAGCACACTAGAGATTGCAGTCATGATATTTCTAGGTTGCTTGTGAACCAAGTCAGAGGATCTTCCTTTATGCTTTCAGGTGCAGTGTGAATGATAAGGTGACATCATTTTTTAATATTCTACTGGTATGTTAATCAAATTGTAACTTTGGGTTAACTGAATTGTTAAACTTGTAATTCTCTTAGAAGCTGGTATTCCAACAACTGCAGATATATTTAACAGAAATGTATGAACTCTGTATTTGCTGATGCCATTAAAGATAATGGGAAACAAATCTATGCAGATGTCCTGTCCTACAGGGGAAAAGTGATTTCACACTGTAACAAAAGGTAAAAAGCCTATTCATTGAAGTACAGCTAGAAATTATTTCTAATTGGTATGAAAGAATCCTTAAATCTTTATACTGCTTTTAATATTTTGGGCTTGAATTACAATTAATAGTTTGCATAAAAGAGGCAATAGGAGGAGTACTAAAATTCAGAATCCTTGAACATGAAATGCTGTCTAGATTTCTAGTCGTAGCATCATTTCTAATGGTTTCACTGTCAAAAAATAAAACAACCAAAAAGTTGTTTGTACCAGCACAAGATGACAAAGTTTTTGCTAAATATCCTTTGCATTCCTCAGTAGATACTCTCCAGTTTTGTATGCTAACCGTGGGTGTGATTTCAGCATATGACTATGTGGGTAACAATAAAAGAGCTAATAGAAATAGGATTTTTATAGATTCAGTACTAAGAGAATCAAAACCCTAAGAGTTCTGAACTTAGAGAAAAGGGAAAAGATCAGGCTGTGCTAGTTGAAGAGGTCCTTCCTTCTTGTGAAAGGTGCCAGGTTCACCCTTTCTCTCAGTCCTTCCAATCCTTGTTGGAATTGCTGCAATGAATGTCTAAGTGACAAAAAGAAAAGCAGAGTGTAAAAGATGCTAATCAGCCTTTGTTCTTTTCAGACATCACATGCAGGACCCAAAGTAAAGATTTTGTGTGGAGAGAGATAGATTTTAATTAAGCATCTTAATAGAGAAATCCTTCTTGTTTTTTTCAGAATAAATTAAGGAAGTAACTTTGATGCAATATCATTTTCATCTAATCAGTAACATTCTGAAATTACCATGTTGTTTTCCATTAGAAATACCATCATCCAACAAATCAGATAAAATTATTTAACATAGCTATATTGCAACCTCAGCTAACATTAGCCTGGGCATGTGTATACACAGAGCACCAGACGGAGAGTGAATTGACAAATGTTTATAGGGAGAAAAGGGCAGACAGTATCAACAATTTTATATACTCCTTTGACTAAGATGCCCATATCCTATCTCGATGCACTAATAATCAAATAAAGGCTTATAAGGGTTTTGCCCTCTGCATATAGTGAATACTGATTACTGACACCAATAAAAGGCAAACGTCTTCAGCCTTTACTTACATGTACAAATTATTAATATCCCCCTTAAAAATTTTTACTTTATATTTGTCCTGAATTCAGAGGGTTTTGTTAGATATAAACCACTATGTTGACAGAGACATTCCCATTAGCTTTTATACCAGTGTTTGCCATTTTTTAAACATACAGAACAAAGTGCATGAAGATAAATCAGCTTGCAAAGCTAGGACAACAGTTACAAGTCTGGAATAGTGATGGGGTTGCTGCTTCATAACTGTGTCTTCGATAAAATGTGTGTGGTGGTTATGACAGTTTTACACAACTATAGTTTCTGTGGGCAAATTTGCAACATTCGTGTTCCTGACAGCCAGAGACAGGCCACAGTTAGCCTTGTGTGTTCAAGTACTATTAATTGCTATTAATATTTACTACAGTAGTGCCTTGAGGTGAAGTCAAGTAGGTGCCCTGTTTGTCCAAACTGAGAGCTTGATAAAGTGAGTGGGAGTGAACCACCTGGTGATAAGTGACTTACTCAAGAGCACAGAGAACGGTTTTGTGAGCAGGAAACAAAACACTGCTCACCCAGGTAGAATCTCTCTCAAGCCACAATACACACTTCTGTTTCTAAGGGAAGTTTTCCCAAGAATAAGACATTCCCAACTGAGGCATAGGGAGTGTTATCTATTCTGTCACATGAGGATCTGACAATAAAAAGTAAGGAAGGCAGCACTAATCACATATCCCATTTCTTCACCTACCATAGAAACTGAACTAAAGGGTTGAGGCGCATGAATAGGCATTACGAGGAACATGCAACTCTTCCTCTCGGAACAGACCTTCAGGATCACTTGTCACGTTGGTTTCTTCAGTTTGGCTAGATTTCTACCAGTTCCAGCAATAGGAAAATCTAAGACTGCCAGTATTTTTTGACATGACTTGAATCCCTGCATAATAGGTTCCATCAAAAAAACCCCAGTTGCTTTTATTGCCATCATGGCTGTAATGCAATTTCATGTGGTGTCCTTAAAAACAGTATAATTTCTCATATACAGCTGTCAGCAATAACCTTTTGTGGCAGCAGAGAGAAAAAAAAATTCCCAAAATACAAAATCTAACATATATTTGTAGACCTTAAATCCTGTCTAACCACGTACAGCTGTATCTCCCTGATCTCTGGGGTAGTGGAGTCTTTTACTTGTAGGTAGAGCAGAAGCAGCTGACAGGGCTTGTGCAAGTAGCATCTTGGAGGATATTCCCAGTGCAGCCTGCTCAGCTGGTGCAGGCAAGGGCTTGGCATCCGCCGCAGTCCTACATATGCACAAGAACATAAAATATTTTGTGTTCTTGTCATTCAATTTTTCTCCTTTGATTCTGAACACAAATAACAGCTTAACCTAATGAGAAGTCATATCAAAAAAAACCTTAAAAAGATGGTACACGTCAAGACCAGATGAGGGCTGCAGGACCTATGAGTCTCAAACACCCAGCAGTGTGTGTTTCACTCCCTGCTGCCTCTCCTACTGTCACAGACCAATTTATATTTTGTGCCTCAACAGGAGATGCTCCAGTGTTGGCACAAACTTTTAATGATCCCCAGCCTCACATGCCGCTCTGGAAACAAGCTCTGAACAATACAGAAGGTTTTGCAACATATTAGTCCTATAAATAAAAATGTATTTCTCACCAGGAGTTCATATTCAGATACTCTTCCACATTTAGCATTGTGGGTTTTTTCCTCATCTGGAGATGCATTATCCCTTGTTCATGTCCTTTTGGCTTTTTCAGAAATCTCTTTGTCTTGTAAACTCTGGTAAACTGTAGTATTGTCAGTGACATTTCAGATAATTGATTAGTGTGAAGATTCTTCCTGGTTTCCTTCTACTTGTGAAGTTATAGCAAATCCTTTCCAACGTGTAATAAATACATTATCTGAGCAAGAAGAAGAATATTGCAATGAAAAAGCTCCCGGTATCAAGTTACTGGCTGAGAGCAGGGTAGCCAGGGAGCCATCCCCACAAATCTTACCAAACCTGATAAATCATGGAACTTAGTACCCAGGCCTCCCTGAACTACAGCAGATCCTTTTTGAGCTGAACTAGAGTGCCTCACACTCTGCTTTGGAGTTCCAAGGTACAATGCATGGAGAAGACAGTATACCGTTGGACCAGCAGAGATTCTAAAGAGATCATGTATTAGTTGCACATGTATTTGCATCAGTTAAATTATAAATTATATTAATGAACACATCTCCTTTGGATATAAGTTGATAACTAGTTTGGTTCATGAGGAAGCTACCCCTTGATCAAGAAGCAACCTAGCATCACAAATTCATCCATCCCTTTTTCTGGAACATCTGTGTGCAGCAACCTTGGAATCATTAGAAGAACTTCCTTTTCCACTTGAAAATTGCCACCAGCTACCCCAGAATGGCTCTTGACTCAGACATGTTAATTAGTGTTCCAGTTTGTATGTGAAAAGCTGATATTCTTTACCTCTCTGAAGGAAGACCACTTTAGAACCAGTCCATTTCCAATTTGCTCTCTATTTCCAGCACTGATGCTTGTACCTTATATGTGAAATGAACCAGCTGTTACTGATTTCACAGCAGAAAGATGCAGACTCAGTGGCTGTCAGAAGATTGTGTGTATTCCAGTTTGCATAGGCTTCTCCTTTTCAGCCTCCTTCACTTGTCTAAAGAAATTAAAACGTATGAGTTTAGAAGCACCATGATACCAGCATGTAATATTTATTCCTCTTTTCATTGAATCAGAAATATGTGCTCAAACCCCTAGATTTTATTCAAAAATAACATGCAGCTAAGGGGATTTTATTGCATAAGATATAGTATTAACAAATATGATCAGTGCTTAGATTGTACACAGTTGCTTTTTACCTGAAGTACATGATAAAAAAACTTAGTAAATGGCTAGTACTAGAGTGTGGTGTGTCAGGCAATACACTCTAGGATTTATTAATGCTAATATCTGTTAAGAAAATACATTGTTAGTCCTTCTCTACGTATAGATTCAAATCTTTCCATTGATACCTTGCTGTAGAAATAAACCTGAATATACTTCTGTGGCACAGCATGCCTTAAAATTTAAACAAAAGTCAACGTGATAAAAAAATTGATCAGTTCAGTGAACACATTTCTTTGCCTTGAACTGAAATGTGCATTCCAGAAGAGCATGGCTTGTGAATTGGAGATCCATGAAAGGAACAGACCTGCTAAAAGAATAACATTTTGATGAAACAAGTTTATTTGCTTAACAGCTTTCCACTGCAATTAACATATGCGGCAAATGTGTCTATTTAATGTGACAGTCTGCTCAAATAACCCTCTTTCAAGAGTGGGATTATATAATCTGGGAATAAGATTAAAATTATTGAATGTCTTGTTTATCGAAAATGCCAGCAGCACTGTCTCCTCCTTTCCCCTGTACTTCATGCTGACTTGTAAATGATGTGCTTGAGCTCTGGTGTCCTTAAATTAATGAACTGTCTGAGAGCACCATTCAGCACAGGACTGCTGTTCGGATCAAAAGAAAGAAATTGAAAGAAACCCTGTGGAAGACAATCTGTGCAGCAGCAGATCTGGAAGTATTTGACCTTATCAGGCTTCACGGGATGGCAGTTGCCTTGGTCCTACAAGATTAAAACTAAGAGAATGCTAATGGCAAGGCATGAAAAAATAAGTGACAAGATGTATAGCTGGGGATCAGCTGGTCCCTTGGGCTTGGATAATCAGTGGTCAGCCCATGGTCAGTGTCTCCCTTGAGATCACTTTCTCCTGAGAGACATGCTGGGGACCTTCTGACCAGAGGATTGGCTTGGACTGAGAACAGGGACATAGACGGTGTGGCCTACTGCCCACTGCACAAAATGCCACACAGGACATCCTGAGCAGGGCATGGCTGCATGTCCCAGCAGCTGCCTTCAGAGTGGATGCTGTCAGCTAGATTTGGACTTGAACTGCTATTCTCTGGAATAGTCATGCTGATGAGGGTGTGAACATGCACCAGCCAAGCCCCTGCCATTGCCACTGTCCCATTCTGCACACCCTTGTCAGAGGCTTGCTCCCTCCAACCTCCTCAACAGTGTTTAAAAAATAACAAATTGGTTACCTCATGTTGGGAAGTAGACAAATCGAAGGGGAGGGTGGTGTAGATAATAGGTACACAGAAGTGAGTGGCCCAGCACTCATAGAGGATGGGGAATTGAGAAGGACAGGCACTCATCAAATGATAGCCAATAGAGCACTGCAAGGAGCAAGGAAGATGATACAAGCCTCTCAGAGCAATGGAGACTTCTAAACCCCAGGAAAAGGCAGCGGGGCTGCTGCTCCCTCGCCTGGCAAGTGGGCAATTTTCATTACTATTGATTTAATTCACTTGGCCCCCAGAGTGACCCTGTTTTGAGCTGTTGCCCTGTTGTTTGACCCTAAGATCATTTCTGCATCAATTGAAGGGTATGGAAAGGAGGGGAGAAGGGTGCTGTGCGCTTCTCCATAGGCTGGTTAGAGACACTGGAACCCTGAACTAAAGTCAAAACACAATTTTCATATCAGAAATCATCTATGAAAACAGACTTTCCCCTGCAGCTGCTTAGAGAGGGAAGCAGGTGAAACACAAAACTGGTGATGGCTCTAGCCCACATGCCCTTGAAAGGGTTCAGAGTCACAGAGAGCTCAAGGACACTCTCACTGTTAAGCCAAGAGACAATCTCCAGGTTCAGTTAATTTTAGAACTGTGATAAATTCCCCTTCCCAATACCTCCAAAGGTGGGGAATTTCTGCAGCCCTCTGTGAAGCACCATGACGACAGCCTGCCCACTTGGGAGTTCACTACATAAACATTTGTATAAATTGTGAGGAACAAGCTAAGGAACCAGATCCTTTCCCTTCTTATCTGGAAAAAAAACCCTTCTTTGGTCAGTGCTCTGCTGGCAGAAGCTCGATTTTAAACACCCTCCAAGACTGATCATGAAACATCCAGAGACCACATTATGTGATATTACGTAGTTTTTTTCTGAGAGTCTGGGGAAACTCCTCATATTGTCCCCAACCCTGGAAAACTTCCAAGTGTTCCTGAGAGAGTATAATGAGGCTTTAACTCTGAGGCACTGTGTTTTCAAAAGAGGAGGAGGCTGTTTCCTTTCTTGCCAGAGATTTGGCAGTTGCTGTGTCTCATTGGGACCACCACCCATTTCAGCTGGAGGATGCAAAGTTTTTTCAGTGTGATCATTGTGCTATGGGACATGCAGATAGGTATCTGGGCAACGTGGAAAAAACTTTTACTTACAGCTAGAGGATGAAGAGAGCAAACAAATAATTCCTTTTTCAGTCTCATTTTAAAAATGTCTGAATTACCAACTTGTGTTGCATGTTGCCCAGATGCCAGGTCACCTCTAAGGCAGTAATGTCTCTTCTACATGCTAAACTTGCAGACTCTTCAGGCATCAGCACCCGAATTTCCCTCAGGTGTACTGAACATTTCAGGTGATGATTGACCGCTCTCCCTGATATTTGTATGATTATTAGTTTCTTCTCTGTGTGCTATTCAGCAGACAGCACTGCTCATAAAAAGCAGATAGGAGCAAGTTGGGCTGCTGCCCCTGGTGAGTAGGAGAGAGGATGGGCTGATTGATGACCCTTGGCTGTTTTCTGATGTTGCACTTGTTTTTTATGATGTCATTAGGAGGCTATAGTCACATTAAGGAATCCCTCATGACATCATAAAGGACTTGATATTTCACTAATGTTATTTCAGCAGAGTGGAGCTCTGGCATTTTATAGTCTTTGCTTTCCCCATAGAATTAGGAGTTGTCTAACTACAACCTGGAAGAAATGCAAAAATAGTCAAATGCCGACTTCAAAAGTTATGGATGAAGAATGCTAATATATTTGGCTCTTTTGGAGCACACAGCACCTTTAGATGGAGTACATGATGTGTTTATATAAAGATACCATTGGTGAATCATATCCTCATGCAAAGGAAGAATCACACATGCCTTCCAATTCTTTTTGGTGCACAGAAACAAAGAATTATGTTTTCTGAACCCTTTTTGGGACAGTGTGAGAGACAAACGTGCCGTAGGACAGCACCGTGGCACCATTTAGTGTAAGAGGACAGAGTTGTGGTGTAATGCTGCGATCAGGAAAATACTACCAATGGACCCTGAAGTTACCATTTCCTGATGTAAGAGCGAAACATTAAGCACTATACTGAAAAGAGAGATTTGATGAGCTTGGCATAGGTGGAGAAAGCAGTGTGAGTGCTGTGCCAGCTGTGCCTTAAAGGGGATTGTGGGACACCTCCACATGCGAGAGCTCAGTATCCTCATTGCAGCAACACAAACATTCCCCCAGGTGAAACTGCTGTTAGTTAAGGGTAGGGACTGCCTGCCAAGGGAGAAATCCAATTACAGTTTGCTTTACTGCAGTATTAAGGGATCCCTCTACATGTCTTTATGCTGGTCCCTCCTGCCTTCCTTTCCTAATGTACTCAATAGTATAGAAATATTCTGCATGGTTTCTTAACCTTTCCTTTTTTCCCAGAGGAATTACACCTCTGATTCTACATTCATTTTTTTTGTTCTCTGGAAGTTCCCAAAGCAAAGGAACTTATTTTTAATCTACATTTCTATGAATCTTGTGCTTTTCTTTCTGGTTGCTCCCAATTTATGTAATAAACAGCAATAATATTTATTGCATTGTTTTAAGATTTGCATTGCTTCTTATCTGTGACTTTGGAATGGTACTGGAAAGCAATCTAAGAGGCAGAGCACCTGAAGCCCTGCTGAATGGCAGTGAGAAATGGACCTTTACCTTGCACAGATGCTTTCAAAAATCCTTGCTGTTGACTGCAAAATCTCACTTGAAACTATTTTAAAAACTGTTGAATTTTTTTACCCACAATGACAGGCAGAAAACTCCAGAAACTGAAAGACTGCCATATGGCTATTAATCTGAAATGGACACTGTTTTATTTCGTGTAGAGAACTATACAAAATAAAAAACTCTCTCTGAGGCCCCAGCTGGATTTGCTGGAAGATCCTTTTTAGCCCGAATCCATCTGCATACTAAAAAGTAAGTAAATTAGAATGAAGGAGGTTTTTTTTCTTCCAGAGATGCTACTGCAAATACAAGTGTATGACACCTCAGAATTATTTTACAACCCCCAAAACAGCAAATTGGACTGTTTCATGTGAGACACAATGCCAGATTTTCTTCAGGCAGCCCTGCCTGTGCCTCTCTCTTCTGTCCTTAGATCTGAAGAGGGGAAGAGAGGCAGGAGAAAAGTATGCATTTCAGCATACCAGTAGCTCAAGATACCCAAAATCTTGCTGAGGAGACTGTCCTTCCTCAGTCCATGTAGTCCTAAGCCATCTCTCTCTGCCTCTGTGGAAGTACCCTACTCATCACTCTGTCACTGAGCCTGTGGTCCCTTGATAAGCATAACTCCCAAAGCAGCAGATTTTTATTATTGTCAAGGGTACAGAAATGTGAGTCCAAGAGCCTCCCATCTCCATTATTCAGCCTGCCAACTGATGGAGCAGTAGCTGACTAACAATCCCACATTCCAGAGTCTGTCCCTTGCTCTTCGCTGCACTGACACAAAACTCAGACATTGCAGCAGGAGGGAAAGGGCCCCAGGGATCTGTGGGCGCTTGGCAGTGGGATCTGGTG